AGCAGCTAAGAGAGGAGTGAAATTATTTTTTTTGCTCATTAGATTTCAATAGAAGAAGCCTTTTGAAATTTAGCAATTAATATTTGTCAAGAGATAGTAATGTACGGTAAGTATCAAGAACTTTATGAGTAGAATTTTTCTAATATCAAAATATCTATGAGCGTGATATCTTTAATAAGCGCCGAAGATATCTGCAGATAGAGGAATCTTTACTAGCATATTTTAAAATAATCTGAGAAATACCATACCATAGTTAAATGATTGGATTAGCTTATCACAAGTTACTGGTAAATAAATATTTAGAAAAAATGATACTTTCGGTTTGATTGCGATATTTTTTTCACAAATTAATTATTTGCAGTTAATTTCAATTACAACAATTGTTGCGTACCTATGCAAATTTTATTGTGGGACAAAAGCAAAACGAAAATCACTAAAGCAACTGTGAATTAAAATATGATACTTCGTTGTCACTGATTTAAAAAAAAAAAGAAATGAAGAACAAAAATGAAAGCTACTATAAATAAATATAACAAAAATAATGGATAGCTATTATTAAATTATTTCATTCAAATTTAATGCATATGAACAAAAAAAAAAAATCAATTGCATGGATAACAGTTTATTCAAATTCACGAGTTAAATGATCATTGCATTCAAATTAATAATAAAATTTTAATTTTTCGTATTTCAAACATTGAATACATACTTTTTTCAAATATATGTCATTATTATCATTAATATGGCAAATATGATTTGCCTCAATTTGGATCTTATCTCAATCCAATAATGCTTGCAAATGAAATATAACAATAGGAATATAAAATGAATGTAATCAAACATACTGATAAGCGAAAAAAAAAAAGAAAAAGGTAAAATGAGTAAATGAATAAACAACGATAAAATAAATAAATCAACAATAAATCATTTTCTCTCATCAGATATTTTCATTTCATTAAATCACGTAGGTCTATCAATTCGTTTCCATTCTGATGGAATGAAATAAGAATGAATGATACAAAATCAATTACACATTCTTCTATCATTTTTTCCTTCTCCAATGATCATTGCATTTGTAGACGATGAATAATCTCAAATATGCAAGCAAATCACACCATATACTTTATATTTTATATAATCACACATCCAAATACACACCCACACACACACACACACACACACACACAC